ATGACATACAGGTAAGTCCCAACAAGAACAGCATACTTAGTTTTGGACACTACTCTTCAAAAAAGATTAACTGAAGAGTCCAAATGAGTAAAGCAAATCATCAGAGGATAGAAAAATGGTTGACAAGGCAAGACTGAATAAGTTGGACATGACAAATGCAGTTTGTGCAGTTAAAACACAGTTAATGCAGTGTTCAGATGCTATGGGGATGTGTAGAGTGTAAGAATCTGTATAGTACAGAAATCTGCATAGATATTGAAACTTAATGCATAACAAAATGTAAGCTTACACTTCTGAATAATGCTTATCAGCTATTCCCTCTTTGACCACTGATCTACATATGGCCGAACAAAATAATTCTCACAGTTTCCAGCAGAGTAAAAGTAAGTGTAAATACCTTTAACGTTAGACATTTTACTAAGTAGACAATTGTGAATTCTTTGTCCCAAAATATTAGTCTGAGGGCAATGAAGCATGGCACTATTCTTGTCAAGTAACACATTGCACAATTTGGTATTGAACATAGCACAGTGATATTTTAAAAACAGATTAATATCCTTATTCACTTAGAAAACAGTCAGGCGTGTAGTGCTTATCACTACAGAACTAAAATTATTCAAGGAGTTTATTGAAAAGGCAAAGTACATTACTTTTGCTTTTCTCAGAAACACAATATTGTTCATTTATTCTCCACTTTGCGTTTTACATAAGTCCACAGGGGGAACAACAGACAAGTGATTTGTCACATGCAGGTCAGAAGGGAAATAAGTGTGTTTTCTGTCCCATAATATAAAAATCCCCATGTAATCGCTTAGACTAAACAGAAGTACAAAGTGGAGATTCTCTCTCCCACTAGAAGTTAGTTAATAACAAAGCTACAAATAATTATCTGAAAAATATTTTGTCATATAAATGTAATGTTTTCAGTACAGATTTATTTTTTTCCTGTCAGTTAAAGAGCACTTGAAAAAAAAGTCAGCAACTGCAAATTACTGTGATGTTAACTTCATTCCCTGTATTTTCTTGGTAAATTTAGAGAAATTAAAGAGACTTCAGTTGGGATCATGAGATCAAGCATACAAACAAATAATCTCTCCTTCTGGAATATCCTTTTGGGCTTTACCTCATTCCAGCTTTTTTCATCATTACACCTTGAGGAATCTGAACTGATTTATCTGTGCAATTGCTGTTAGATTGTTTTGTCTGAATACAGCATCTTTAGTTGTACTCAAAATGAGTTGGGTGGCAGTGGCTCTCTAGCATTAAATTCTCAGTGCCACATGGTGGAGTAAGAAGCACACAGAATTTACCTTCAAAAACTGATCCAAAGGAGAAGTTGAACAGTACGTACTTCCCTTTCTTTCTGTCAACTTTCTGAATAAACTAAACTGATTATTTAATTTAAGAAGAGGAGCTAAATATAATTTTCTCAGATTCATTTCTGATCAGCTGAACCAAAGATTATTCCTCCTATCAAAGATCCCAAAGGATTTGAATTTTTGAAGCAAACACAGAGAGCTCCCAAACCCTCAACAGCTGTCTGATTATAAATTCTCCCATATGTTCTTTTAAAAATGCAACACATATTGCTGAACAGTTTGCTAAATCCCTCAGCATGGATAAACTGACCCCTGCCCAGAAACCAACATCATTGACTGAAAGATTCCCATTCCAGCTGTGCAGACACTGTAGTAGAGTATCTTATATGAATGAACTGTTTTCTGCTCTACAAGAGAGCTGTGCCAGCAGAGGCTCCGCAGGAGATGTGGCCATTCAGTATGTGCCTATTCTGCTACCGGTTGGCATGGTCATTCACTAAAGGAATGACTCAGAATATTTACCTGCATAAAATTGATTGTTTATTCCCTTTCCCTCTAAGGGTTTTAAAGAACTTCACAACTGAACTTCAGAGAACTTCAGTATTTGCATTAAATCTGTTCAGTTGTTAATTCAGTTTTTTTCCTTAGGTCCCACTGGCATCTTAAAATAAAAACATGAAAGGGAAAAAGTCAGTAGCCTCTACACTGGTTTCCCACAGTGGATAGAGTATAATCAGGTGAACTTGACATGAGACAATAAAATCTCAAGAACAAAAACAAGTTCTGCAAAAGCACTGAGCTGAAATTTTCCCATGAAAGTGTGCTAATTAAGGTTGGTTGAGTTTTATGCTGCTTCAGTTGTTGAAGTTCTGAATTACTTCCTTTTACACAGTCTGTGATCATTGCTAATATTGTACCTGAGGATACATATAAATCAGAAGCGTCCATATAAAGCACCACCAAAAATTGCTACAATGTAAGGGTCCAAACACACCAGAAAAAAGAGCACGCTTTCATATCAAAGTTTTCTTATGTATTAGAGTTATATAATTACAAGATGAGAAATTAAACTGTTACATCTTTAACAAATGCTGACTTGTATCCTATTGCATAAAAAAATTGTTTACATTATTCACATTGCAAGGAAGGAGAAAAATAATTCAGAAGGGTCAACTAATAGCTAACATAGCTTAGGATTCAAACTGGAACAATAATTCATCTGAATCTGATCCTATTCTTATACTGGTGTAAGTTAGAAGCAAATAAATTAGAATCCATTTCAAAATAAGACTGAATGCAAATATGATCCTGTTTTCTAAATACCACTTTTTAAAATCAGACATACAGACATAAAAATATCTGCACGTACCTACAAACACACACACACTAGAAAAGCAACTGAAAGATACACCTATCTACATTTTAATTCAAAAGACATGGAAAGTTTTATTTTTAAAGGAGATAAAACATGATTTTCAGGGCTACATATATTCAGCTCTGAATATATTTAAGACCATCTAAGCTACTCCATACAAGACACTCATTTTTTACAATGATTTAAACCTCTACAGGCATGCCAGAAAAAACATAATTGAATGCCTCTTCCAAAATCATTATAAAGCATTCATTTTCAATTTCCTTGTAGCCTTTTTTTGTTTGGTTGTTTTTTTGTAATCTGACTTCCTAAATTTAAGTGGAATTTACAGAAAAGTTGTTGTACGTAATATTGTACACTGTTAATAATTTTATACCAGAGATATTTGGTTTTATTTAATTTGCATTCTTACCATTTTAATGCTGCAGTAAAGCAGATGTTACAGAAGAAACAATGAAAGAGTAAAAATGAGAATTAGATGTACAATTGTATTTCAAAGGCTCAATAAACCATTTCTAAAGAACAGGAAAAGCTGTTTCTGTTAAATTTATATAAGCTGTAAAAACTGAAGTGTAAGTACATTTATCTGCACATAATGAAATAATTAACAATGTTGTCTATGTTTCAATAATTTAGTAAAAATCCCTAGGCCACATAATCAACTTTGTAAGAGAGCCATCTAAGAGCAGTGAAGATGATTAGTTTCTTCTTTCTAGGATGGGAACTAGATTTTAAAGAGTCACATTGTTTATCTTTGTCATTTTAAAGTTACTGTATAGTATTCCATGACATTTATAGTTCTTTACATCTTCTGGACAGGTATATAATATAAAACAGAAGGAAGAGATGACGTTACTAGAAAATTATCTTGAACTTCTCAAAGTAATCCTACCTAAAATTTACTTGCACTTTCATAATGATCATGTTGCAAATACCCATTATTAATACGAGGCTGAGGGACAACCAAACACTCTTCAGTTGATTGAGAAAACCAGTACGCACATCAGTTCAACCCATATATATCTTACCTGTGCTTCCTGAGGGACCTGTGCAGCATCAACTCTGTCTGCAATGTAGGCTGTTAGCTCTTTGTCAATAACAGCAAGAGACTCTTGGATTAAGCGGAGGGTTTTGTCAGTCTCCTGGGCAGACTGAATACTCTGTTCAAGACTCTTTTGTCTTCTTACAGCCTAAAAACAATGACAATGTTATCAATATTTACAGTAATAATGCATATAATACATTTTTTCCCCCTTTTTTTTTTTTTCAAAAAACGCAGGTTAAGAATCAAAAATAGTACTCCTGACTCGTGTTCATCCACCTTTTTGTATGATAAGTTGCGCATCTTTTTGCCACTCATTCAGTTCTTTTTAGTATGAAACAAACAAACAAAACCCCAGATGTAAAAAATGCAGGACCCTGAAAAACCACTGCATGCATTGAGGATTTCTATACAGAGGGGAAGTTGGCAAAGCTGCATAATAAAACCATCCTGATAGTGCAGTCTTTCATTCTGAGGCATAGCGGTCCTTCTGATCTTATTATATAGTTCAAGAGATTTTGTTTACTGAGAATAGGGTTACTGTCATCACAATCCCATCTGAGACAATCCACTTCAGTAAGTGAGAGAGATAAAGACTCTCTTGAGAAGGAGCTCTCTTATATGAAGTATAAATAGCTGTCTGGAACAGAAGCAATGCCTACTCTGGAAATAAAAAAGAGATGGATCCTTGTCTTGTCTGTGGACTTGCCCAATCTGTTATCACTCTAACCATAGTCTCTTTTAGTCTAGGAAGTTGACTCTTGCTTCTACTCCACCATCAGTGCCACAGTGGATTGCCTACCATCACCTTTTATGCAATCTTTTTTTTGAGAAGGATGCTTTCCTTTCCAAGGAGCTCCATTTATGGTTCAACAAATCAGAACAATAAATTCTCCTTCCAAGTTGTCCTTAAAACACACATATATTTAAACATTTGACATAAACGGGTTAGCTTTAACTATTATTTGTAACAGTTTAATATGGTAATAAATAACCTGGTACTTTCTTCCATCTGTCATTGTGTCCACCTGCAGACTCTCATTTTACTTAGACTACAGCTTCTGCCTCGCAGAGTTTCTGCTTTATGCAAAGTACATAATAACTACCAACAATCTCAAATGCAGTACAGTTTTTCTCTGTACAAGCCCAGCCGTACTGCTGAACACAGAATAAAGTGACTACGTTTCTTTGACATGAATTGAAGGAGGAGGGAGAATGCAAGTACTCTTTAAATAACATTGCTAGGTGTCCTGCCATTTTTCAAGTCAAATCACACTTTTTCTCTTTGGTGAGCCAGTTATACTTTAATTTGATTTCATAGCTATTATGAAACTCTTGCCTTGAACAAAAATTTCTCTCAGCAATTCAGTGAGAATTCTTGCTATATCTGTACCTTCTTCATGGAGCTCAGATTCTTATAGAGCTTCACATTTAACAAATGAAAAAGGTTATTTTTTGCAAGCATTCTTGCTAGCCATTTGACTTAAAGGATAGGAATCCAACCAGTATTTACTATATTTGTGTTTGTAAGCTGCTTTGTGCTATTTCAAAACAGCTGATCAGATAATCTTGTATCACTGCCAGTTTCAGGAACGTTCTGTGGAACTGAGCAGCTTTACATATCGGACCCATGCTGTCAGTGTTAATGGAAGCACCTGAGCCACTAAGGTATTATTACCCCACCAGATGAACCATTAAAACAGTCTAACTTCCCAGTACAGTACTAAGGCTTGCTACTTAAATGACTTTTACCTTCATCTGATTTGAGATTTTATATTACAATGTTCTCAGCTTGTTCAAAGCAGTGGGGTTAAAAACCACAGCTTCCACTTACCTTGGCACTCCTTACTACTAACTTGTAAGCCTGACTAAGATACAGACACTCTCTACCTTTCCACTTGCTTCGCTACAGTAGACTGAAAGACACATTAAATCAGAAACAGGGTTAAGTATCTTTCTACAGCCCATGGGAAAGGGCATCCTCCTGGAAGCATGGAAGAGAACCTCTCTGCCTTTACTGATCCCTTTGGGTAACTGTTAGGACTAACGTACATGCATAGTACATTCGTACTGAGGGCTGCACCGTCTTGATGTTCAGAAAAACTCACCAGTTAAAATAAAACTCTGAGAAAGTTCCATTCTTATTAGTCATCAAAATAAGTGCCGGCACTTTCCGGAGAATTCAATATACCGGACACAAATTTGGTGTTAATTCCTTCTTAAAAACTACTTTTATAGCAATACTTGAAGCTTTGAATCTTTGTTAAATGCTGATCTATGCTAACTACTATTTGTAGCTAGGCACTTGCTTAAGTATAGCTAAATTTGCTGCCAGCCTCAGGAGCAGCCTGCATGCATGCAATGAAGTAGTTATCAGTGCATGGAAACTCACAAAAAGTCTTAAAATTGTATGACAAATACGTGGTGAGTGAAAAATTGTTACCTCTGTGCTGATTATGAGCAGAAACTATGTATATCAAAATCCTGTTTTAGAATACAACTGGAAAAATTAAAACATTCTCAAACTCATTGAGCAAATATTAAACCAGATAAAGTTAAGAAAATTACAACAAATTCTTGCCTGAGTCTGACTGGATTTTTATGGCTGGATTTCAAACAAAGATGAAGTCAGATAAATATATATGCATGCTTGTGATATCTTTATGTCCACACAAAGTATGTACACACACACAGAAAGACAAAACATTCCCCTTTTATTGTCCTCAGAGAGAATCCGATTACAGCCCGAGAACTTGTGTAACACTTTGTATCTTCCAAGTGAGGTGAAAGTACATCTTTTCCAAAAACCATGAACAGTTTAGATGAATGAATGGATAACATCAGACCAAGATGTGAATGCAGTGGTATAAGAGAGGAATTACTTTGGCAGTGGGAGCAGAACCATACAGCCAAATGCTGGGAAATGGCACCTTCACCGTTGTGATGTTTTTCTCAGATATAAATGGGTGCTGCTTTAATTTTTTTTTTGTCTGTATTGCTTACTGGGAACAGACTCCATCCTGCATGCTCACCTAAAGTCAAGCCTCTGCCCTGACCCTGTTCAATTCACACAACAAATGTAACAAAAGAGTCTTTGCAATAATCTTATAAAAGGTACAATACACTCATGTAATGTAAGATATTTCTCCAGTACACAACAGCTGACTCAAAAACCTAATCCTGTTCCCTAAGTAAGTCCCTGGCACTATCACTGGCATTGCAGAATACTTATCAATTCAATCAAGGTGAATGCCTCAATATGGATGAGGCTTATTCCTCTCTCTCAGTAGAAGAGAGATACTGATGGAGGTAAGCATTAGAGGGCTTTACAAAAAGGGGCAGACATACTACACCCTTACATCTGTGAACCTCACTTTCAAATTTGTCCTTAAAACTCATACGTCTGTGCGAGTGAAAATCTATAGATGCATATTTTTAAAAGACATGTGAAAGTTGAAATTTTATATATCTATAATATAAAAATATTTTAATTTAGGATGTTTTGTTTGGGGAGGGTTTTTTTGTTTTGTTTGTTTGTTTTGTTTTATTTTTTCTCTGAAAGATTACGGTTTTTCTATTCCTCTGTGGAAGAAATAGATGGTTTAACATCACAGTGTATAAATGGATCTGAGAACATAACAGGAAGCTCTAGCTCTGCTATCAGATCATAGTCAATAAAGCTGAAGGCTTTGGTCTCTAAAGGGAGATGTCTGACAGTTAATTGCTAAATAGGAAATCTCAGGAAAATAACCAACTGTTTAATTATTTCTGAGCCAGTGAAATGTTGACAGCTGTCAAGGAAAATAAAAACAAAAAAAAAAAATCTGCTGTTAGGCACTATCAAAATGAAAGAGAGAAGAAAAAATATTTATGGACTAAATTTTTTATTAAAGTCTCTGCAGGTTTTCATAGATTTTTAGTTATTTTTTATGATTAAGCATAACATTTAATTTTTATGTTATAGCGTATTGCATAAATCTGTTTACAATTTAACAAAGATCAATGGTAAATGCAGGAAATGGTTACATTGCCTATTATCCACATAAAATGCCATATTAAGAGAAAGGCTGCACTGAGAGGTGATCAAATATCAGGAAAGCTGGAGGTGCTCAAACAGTTACTTATGAACGTAGCTCATTCTTTGATGTTGAATGTTATAAAGCTATAGTTATAGACATTGCCACTTTTTCCTTAAATAATACCTTTCATGTATTTAATGACATTAGTCACACATGCAGTTACCAAGATGCTTGTTAGAGTTTTATGATTAAAACCAAGTAGAGTTTTGTTGTTGAGGCAGTACTCAGTAGTTGTACTGTGGGAGAAAAATAGAACAAAACCTTTCCAAAATTATAGTACTTTTACTACAGGGCATATGTATTCATAATGCAGAAGCAAATTCATTAATTAACTTATAAGTTACAGCTCATGGAAAGGGGTCTGTTAAAAAAGGCAGAAATATGTTAGGTCTTTTTTTTGGCTCAGTTATACTTTCTAATTATTGAGAAGTGTTACCACAGGGTGAAGTTAAACAGTAAAAAGTTAGAAAACTTTAACTTTGAATTTCCTTCTTAACTTGTTTAAATTACTTAAAAATTTAACCCAAATCCTTGGTGTTATAATGGTTGTGTCTGAGATATACTGCAACATCTTGGCATGTTTTGCATCAAATTGTTAATGTGTTAATCTCTGCTTTTTTTTTTGGAATCACAGTGGATTAGTATTTAGGCAAACTAGAAATACCTTTTCTAACATTCAAAGTATTCATTTGGGGCCCAGGAATTTTTAATACCCTCCAAGCTAGAATTAATTCCTCTGCAAATTCTAGTAATATTTCACAGTCTGTTTTTAAAGTAAGTGGCTACAAATATTTGACCTTTCAACCCCAAAAGTGATATTCATCTTTGAGCAGCTGTATTCCAAACCTGCAAACTATACCAAGGGGGACTTCTTTATCTCTTTAGGTTATCACTGCAGACAGAGTGCGCCTCGGAGCTTGTAAAAGCAGCCCTCTTCGCAGCCTTCAAAGCAATCACACAGAGATGGGCCATGAAGAATTCTTTCTCCTCTTGAGAGGAGAACAAAATGGAAAATTTGTGTCAAATGATGAATGTGTGCTCTTTGAAAGAAACAAAGGGTAATCTTAAGGGGAGTCCAAAAAGAAATTAAGAGAGAGAGTTCCCAGGAATAAAAATTGAATCTAGTGTAAAGTCCATCTGAACAATAACATTTTATACAGTTTTTTGCAAGTGTAGTCTCAAGAATATCTAACTGACATTTTTTAAGTTTGCCGGACAGGATGTAAATCACTTTCAGCATTACAGAGGAGGATAGCCACTTGTAATATTTGCTTGAAGTTCTTCAGGCAACAGCATTTTTTTAGATCTAATATATAGAGTTGTAAGTGAATCAGTCCTTGAGAAGTAAAGATAGGGTATATGCTGCTTATCGATCAGCCCCAGATGTTCAACAGCAAACTAAGCACACTCAGTCTTTGTTAACTAAAGAAGATAAGGCATACAAACATAAAGCCATTATCTGCCTTTAGAAATGAATCTCTATCTCAGTAGCAATGCTGTGTTGTCTTGCAGCATCATTCATATGGCAGTGGTTTGGTTTGGTTGCTCTATTAGAAGTGAATAAATATTTCACATATCAGTTTCTGCCCACATGAGCTTATTGTCTTGATAATTACCTACACAATTATTCAAATAAAAATAAAAAACTTAACCACATTAGGATAGCCTATTAGTCTGTCTGAAGTAGAAGCAACCTTGAACACAAGCTGAATAATGTTATGTGCCTGCAATGTATTTTTATGCAAGGAGAGTGCATGCTATTTGGATTTCAACAGGGCTACACAAACAGGGCAGAAAATTCAGTGTCAGGAATCTATGAAAAAAAGTTTATGACTTCAGTGGAAAAATTTATAAAACACTTTGTTGTAGAAAACATACAGTAAAGAAGTGGTGTGACTGAGTCATGATTGAAATAGTTTCTTTACAGCTCTTATATTCATATACAGATCTCACCATTATTATTTGACTACTAAATATCAGACCAAGCTTTCAAAGAAGGGGGAGGGTTTCCTCCCACCCCCCACTTTTTGTCTACATTTAAATTAAATTGGAAAGCAGTGAATACATTTCTAATATATTTTGCTTATATACTCATCCAAATTGTCTCCAGAATATCACACATCGTGTTGTATTTTCCACATTTAAACCCTGCAGCTGACATGAATTTTGATTTAATGCCTATTATTGTGAAGATTGAATAGTATTCATCCATCACTCAGCAAAGCTATTTGAAAGTCCTGTTTTCACACACTGGAAGCCCTCTGTATATTCCCAGTTTTCTCCTCCAAGTCAGGAAAAAACCAAGAGATACCAAGTAGCAGAATTCCAGGGAATGTATCTGCTTTCAAACAGAAGTTAGATGTAAAAAAAAAAAAAAAAAAAAAAAAAGAGCAGGTATACAGAAGGTTATGTTTAATTTTCCATTATGACACTGTCTAGCAATATGGGACTATGTGAATGCCTGCACTGCACCAGAACGACCATCAGGTAGTTAGTAGAGGGAACCAGGCTCTTTTTCTCCCCATTCCTCAAGTTTAAGGTCAGAACAGCTGAGGACCCTTCCTTAAATCTTATTGTAGTGTTTTTACTTCCACTCTTTTCAAGAACAAGTACATTTCAAGCACTATGAAAGAAGCAAAAATATTATCGTCATGGTAGATTCTTATCATTCTAACACAGCTGCTTTCCAAAAATCTTTACTTGTGCACTGTTTATATCATTTAAACTGAGCAATTTTAACCATCTTTGTAGCTCATCTTTGAACATGTTCTGGTTTCAGTCATAATGAGAGTCTCTGTGTCCTTTGCTAGGTCTTTGCCTAATAATTCCTTTCTGATATTTTACCAAGTACTGAGCTGACATCTTCCTGGTATTTCTCTTCCTAACTCCAAGATCTTCCTTCTGAACAGTAACAGTCAGCTCAAAAGTTACAATTTCATATATGAAGTCAGAAATCCTCCATGAGTACCACTTTTCATTTATTTACACTGAATACTTCCGTAATTTAACTGCCTTTTTACTCTGTCCTGTAAGGTTGTTCTGCATTTATTTAGAGTTTGTCCCCATCTTCATTACTAGTAAACTACTAGTAGTTGAGCTATTTCCTTATGTATCCTTTGGTTATCTTAAAATTCTTCGGTGAATTCTGTTTGGTCCTGCCATTATACACACACACACACACATTTGTATTAGTACACACACAAACGTATGTTAAAAACACTCCTAGTATTAAAAGTAAATATTCATGCACAAGTATCACAGTTTTGAATTGATTTACCAGCAAAAAGTATACTGTTCCACTAGTGGGATCTGTCAAAGAATTAGTAAAATTTTCTTCACGGAGTCTGTGGCAAAGATTGCTAATCTAGCATATTGCTAGATTTGACTCTTCTTGTGCTAAACATGTTTCTATATTGAAGTGTCTTTATAAAATCTTTCATTGATACAAAGACTTATTTATTGTTTAGTAAAGAATACATCTGTAAGAGAATGTTACTCATATAATTTGGAAAATAGTTTGCTTCTCAGTGAGAGTCTTGTCAGAGAAAGCATCTCTAAATATGCAATTGAAGATTAAGTCCACTAGATGGTCACTTCAATTTCGGAATTTTAGGGTTACCTATTGTACTGGTTTTGGCTGGGATGGAGTTAATTTTCTTCACAGCAGCCCGTGTGTGCTGTGTTTTAGATTGGTGATCAAAACAGTGTTGATAACACAGGGATGTTTTACCTATTGCTGAGCATTGCTTGCGCAGTGCCAAGGCCTTCCCTTTCTCACTCTGCCCCTGCCAGCGAGTAGACTGGGTTGGGCAAAAGGCTGGGAAGGAAAACAGACAGGACAGCTGACCTGAACTAACCAAAGAGATATTCTGCACCACACAGAGTCATGCTCAGCAATAAAAGTGGGGTGGGGGAAGTTTTCCAAAATTGCCATTGCTCATGGACTAGCTGGCATTAGTCTCCTGGTGGCAAGTGACTGGGTTTGCATCACTTGCTTTTTTTCTTTTTTTCTTTCGTTTATTAAATTGTCTTTATCTCAATCCATGAGTTTTCTTGCTTTTGCCTTTCCAGTACTCTCCCCCATCGCACCAGGAGACGCAGGGAGTGAGCGAGCAGCTATGTGGTGCTTTGCTACCTACCCGAGTTAGGCAACCACACCTATGCAAACCATCTGTTTCTAAAATAAGTATTTGTTTGTGTACTGTTTAGAAACTATACCAACAATTTTTTTTTTTTTTAACGGTGCTAGGCTGTCAGCTGTTTAATGGGAGGACAGGTCAATTATTAAATATACCTCCTATTCATCCAAGATTCCACCATCAGTTAAAGTCTGAGCCAATTCCCGAATCTGATTGCGATTATCTTCTGGATGTCTCATTAAACGTTCCAAAGACTGAAACAAGGTCAAAAAAGTAGTTTGTTTTCCTTTCTGCAAATAAGATTCTACAAAGCAATCACAATTCCCCTTAAAAATGTAAGTAAGAAACTTCACACTTCATACACAATAAAAGTAGAGAGGAAAGATAAAAATATCAATGTCCCATGCCTTGACAACAAATGTTCCATACCACTTATTAGCAAAAACAAAGAAAGATTTTTCACAAAGCAATAAATTGGGTGCTTGATTTTAAAAATGTGGACTATGCCCAATGAGTTCAGTGGGAGTATTTGTGTACTTAAAAATAAAAAATTTGCTTGAGTATCTGAATGGATTCAGTTCAACAGCAAAAATGCATTATCAGTGTAATGTTTTGTATTTTGATCCACTAAGAGTATTAACTTAATTTCTACAAATTTGAAAGGTTCCATGAATAAAAATTAAGTGATAATAAACAGAGTTGCAGTGCTAGGATGAAAGCTTGCTCTCTCTGAAATCTTCAACATTTTTTTGACTGGCTTAAGTGAGGCCATGTTTTTTAAGAACATGTATTTTATTGTCACCAAAGATTGTCTATGACATCAGGCATAACACATTTAATTACCCTGTTTCACTTAGGCAGATTCAAATTCAAAACCTCATTTGTTGAATCAAGTGAGAACGTAGGACTTTCCAAATATTCTGCACCTTGCTCATGTGTAATGTTGATTCATAGTTTGTTTTGAATGTAATGTGATTTACAATTTATCAATACATGTGATTTGATATTATTTAAGTCAGCACTTACATCTAGAGACTCAGAAATCTCTTCTGCACCTCCCTGGATATTTTCAGTTGCCTTGAGTTTCAGTTCAATCTCATTCAACCATTTATTTTCAGCATCCAAATACGACAATAATTCACGCCAACATGCCCATACCTCCTGATGGAGAAAAAAAAAATGTTTATTGAGCTTGAAAATCTCACAGCTAACTTTCATTTATTAAAACACTGAAAAAATTGCAGGCTTCATCCCCAAAACAACATGGTTGATATCTGATGGTTACAGTGCCATATAGTTGATTTTTTTTCCCCAGTATTTATATGTTCCAAATAAATATAATACACAACCAAAACATTTTGATTAAACAGAGCAAAACCACAGAAGATAACATGAAAAAGTGAACACTTCTGCAAAACACCACTTCAATTTTCTGTCTCATGAATTATCCATTTTATATGCTTTTCTGTAAAATTTTCTTCTAATATATAAATATACAAATTATCAGAATTTTTAAAGACTCATGCTAGAAGTTTATGTCTTTATTACAAGATGTAGTTAGGTTGCTTATATATTGTGTATATTAGTTACTTAAAGCATAGATTCATAAAATGTCTAAAAACACAGCTTTCAAGAATTCTGATTGAAATCTCTATGGAAATTAATTCTAAACCACATTTAGTGCAATTTATAGACCACTTAAGTGCTACAGTACTAAACATAATGTTGTAAAATGAAATTATGTTCTTATTCTCCTGGTATTAAATTATTGTCTAATATTTTATTTTTACAGTGCTTGAAGATACTTAAATAAGCAGATAAAAATGGCACTTTACACACAAGCAAAACATTTAAACTCTCCATAAATGATCTTTTCATTGTTCCTTTTTTTGTTAGTAGAAGTTAAAATAATTTTATTGAGATATATTAGGCTGTTTGTAGATCAAGTTTTCCAGAGTGCAATTCATCTCACCTAACTTTGGTCATATCAGATATAAGTGTCTGGTCTAGGAGGAGGTTATAGAGGGATATTATCACACAACAATATCAATGATCAGGGTAAATATAGATTAGCAGCTTAGACTGCACACCTAATTTCCCACAGTGAAATTTAGAGGAGATAAATTTTACCCAGATAAATAATTGTCCTGTATGAAGTTAGTTATTGTAAATTAGATCACCACAAAAAATCATACCTAATTCACTGTAACCACTGTGTAATATGCAAATAGTCCTATGGCAAGAATCTGTAATGGAGCTGGCCAAAATGGCAGAGTAACTCAAAATGCATGAGACATATTCAGCTTGCCAGGAGATCAAATGCTGTTCCCATGCTGAGATAATACCACCTGTCCAGCTTCAGGGCCATTTAATCAAAATCCTTAGCCTTGGAAGAAAGAAGTCTAGAGGAGGTGATGAAGACAATGTCATGGGGTTGCTACAGAAGTCAGATGCTTGGCTTAATCTCAGGAGGGATAAGAATCCTGAGCAGCCATTGCTGTCTCCCACTTAAGAGCCACCTCTGAGGCTTCTCTTTTAATATGACTCTCCAGCATATATGATTCTCAAAAAGATGTAGGTATATGGCTCATACCATGTGGTATTTGGTATATAGCTCATAAAGTGAGGACAGCCTTGGGCTACTCGTGATCCCATAGGATAATACATCTTTGTTCTCTACCTTACGTTTGCAGTTAGAAGGGCTATAAATATAATGACAAGATATCAAACCTCCAAAGTTTTGCACTTTCCATTCAGTCTGCTGCAGAGTCGCTGGTAACTGGTAATTAGAACATCAAGCTCCTTTTTCAAAGCCTCATGAGCTGCAGGTGGAGCCTTTGCTATAAAATTATTCACAGAATCAGTAATAAGCTTCACTTTCACTTCTTTCTGCATGGCTTCCTCCTTTGCTCTCTGAAAAGAAAAAAATGTTGTAGTCCTGGTTTAAGAAGAAAACTTATTTCTAATAACTTTGTTAGAATTCTCTCTGACAGAAGTCTGTCAGAGGGAAAAAAGCCCAAACAACCCCACAACCAAAAAAAACCCAAGAGCCATTTAATTCCCAGACTTTGACATAATCTTGAATGTATCCAAAAAACTTCTTTTTTTCATTTTGTTGCCAATACACAATACTCAATACAATTTAACATCTTCTCATGACTATTTATTTTTCTGGAGCTCTCAGAATAGCAAAACATTTCAGTATTTTATTATTTTTTTCCAAATGCTCCAAATACCTTTGCCATGAACCACAAATGACAAAAAAATCTTTTGTGTTACAAATTCATGTACACAGGTTTAAAGGTACAATCACAAGCAGCAAGACAGAGAAAAAGGAAAATACTTCTGACTTCTCTCCTTGCCACTGTCATCAACCTGCATTTAAAGAGAAACTGAGAAAATAATTTTTCTCCAGTGTATATTTCACACTTTTATCAGAGAATTAATGTTGATTTCATTCTCTCACTTTACAAGGATAGAAAAATCAGCACCATTATTCACTGCCAGTGAACATTAACCTAACGTGAAGAGAGGACAAAGTGAAAAGGCAGCATCCTCCCAAACAGCACTTTCTGTGTTAGACCCTAGGCAAAGTAGTGTAACAAAGGACAGACATAGAAAATATAAAGATCAAAGGGACACAGAGAACCACAAATGGATGGTGAATTAAAACCAATAATTAACAAATCCTATGTAACTGATCTGGAACCACCAACCTGCCACTTTTCCCTGTTTTAGCCTATGTAACCACAACAACTGATCAATCCAATTCCCAAATTTCTTCCTCCACCCTTTGCTACTCTTGTAGTTGCTACTCCCTTGTTATGCCATCTTATTAATAAGATATGATTTTCATACCTAGCATTGTTTCCTCTGAGTGCTTACAATGAGATGGTGTCTATGACTGGAGTCATATCACTACTGGAAACAGAGTGATGGTATACTTAGTGTCAACAGTGTGCACTGGTCTTCAAAGGAATTTAAGATGAGAACTCCCTGGCCTGAAAACATTGAAACAAAACCTTGTTCCCAACAACCTTCATTCTCTCTGAGTCTGAGGAAGTCCATGAACCAGAATAATTGGGATCAGGCTGTCATTTCCAGAGAAAGTTTACTAGGTTGCTCTTGGCTTTCCTCTTCCCTAGCTGTAGGAAGAAATGGGCTGCAGGGCAAACAAAGAGTTCTGGTCCAGATTTTGCCTGTTGTGTGATAGGAGAGGTGGCTGGAAGCCTTCAGGGAAAGGATCATCAGGAGCAGGTGAAGGGATGCACGACAAATGATCTGGTTATCTGCACAGGCTGAGGTGTCACAGTTTGAACATACCTGTACTTTGGCTGGAAGTACAAAATATTCACTAGAAAATCCACAATGGGTGTTGTGTCTAAAACTATACATTTTACCTGTTTTATTATGCAGTGCAATGTATAAATTTGAGGGTTTTTATTTAATTACTAAAAAAGAACTGTATCTCTAGAGCAGATGTTTACTTTTGATACATTTGTCTCATTTACCATGAATCGAACTTGTTCCATATATTTCCATATATTCTGTATATTCTGACTAGCATCAAGTAATTTTTGTCAGTAAATAAAGAGATCATCAGTTGCATGGTCAGATACTCTCAAACACTGGCAAAACCCTATGGACAATGAAGAGTTTGTGAGCAAAATGTTGGATAGATTGTCAAGGCCATATAATCTGACTTCTTGAATAGCACAGGCCAAAAAATTCACCTATGAAATAAAAATCAAGCCCACATCCAGTGGCTGAGCAAGAGTATATTTGAGCATATATCACAAATTAGTGTTTTTGTCCAAAGGCCATATTCATCCCACATGAAAGGAACATTATTTACTTGAGACCAAAATATGCTCTTCCTACATGGCTATATTAAAGAAATAATAAATCACGCATACTTAGTACATACCAACATGCATCCTGAAGTCCTAAATCTTTTTTTCTCTCTCTCTAATATAAGGAGAAGACATAAAACTGATTTGACTATCAGTTAACTACTGCTGACACCTGATTCTTCGGAATTATTCCTTAAGTAAAAGAATGCTCAAGGTGCATCAAAATCAAGTATTCAATAAATCAAAGAGAAAAAAAAGAAATGCAGTATTGTGAAAGATTAAATATCTTCCAACATATTCCAAATAAAAATTACTTCAAGCCACCTACATTTTAAATTTTAGGCTAACAAGTAGATCTCAAAAGGCACCTTTCTAAAAGAAAGAGTAGACTTTCTTTACAATGAAAGCTTCAAAAAGAACTTTAACCACAGCTCAAGGAATTAGTTCATCTTTTACCTTCAGTTCCTCAACAGCTTTCTGTAATTCGTCAGGTGTTTTATACTCAAAATCTCTTTCCAGATACTCTTCCTCCGCTTGTGTTATCCATTCATGCATCTCTGACAAATCCTTTCTGAGACTCACAGTCTTATCCAAACCACCTTTTAATGCTGCCTTTTTAGCGTGGGCCTTTAAGAAAGAAAACATTACATGGTACTTGAAGCAAGGCTACTGTACAAACGTTACAATATTTTAGCCTGAAAAGAACCAAATTAAATCCTATACTAATAACATTGCTGTAATTAGGCAGATGTTAACAAGTAATTAGATAGATATTAATAACAGGTAATCGAGAAAGTATTACACACATGTATACATCTTTTTTTTTTTTGGCGAGTCATTGCTGTGCAGAATGAGTTTTCAATGATCCTAGCACACGACTCTACATTATAGGCTGAGGTCATCAGAAAACAAATTTGAAAAAAACATCACCCAGCGACTATCTTCTAAAAGAAGTAAAAAGAACAACCACAGGAGACCTTGAAAGTGTATCCAAGGATGAAATCAGAGGCTCTCTAGCTAGAAAGTCAGATGACCTTCTAACCAGTTTGAATGCAACTTGCTAGACAATAAAGCAATATGCATATTTTCTTCTACTGATGAGATCATTATTGAATCTCTCAGAAAGGTGTATATCCTAAAAATAGGTAAGTAAAAAAGGAATCTCCTACTGGAAGAACCCACTTATCTTAAAGGGAAAAATACTTCTGTTAAATCCTTTCCCAATCACTATATAGGGATCATATAACTTGTGTTATATAGCTCATGTATAGAAATAGAACTAGATGATATTTAAGGTCCCTTCCATCCCAAACCATTCTATGATTCTATAAATTGTGCATCAACCTATCAAAATTGTTGATAACCGATTGAGCCGTTGGCTGAACCATCTTTCAACAGTATAAAGAAGTTTGCAACAAAAACAGTTGCACTGGTGCCATTTTTCAGAGTTGGGCTTGCAGAGCTGATCACTCCAACATCCTGCACTGTGATGCTCCTTCAGTAAATGTTATTTTCAGTAACATCAGGAGGAATTGTGCCTTAGTATTTTGTCTTAGTTTCTGACTGCTACTGGTTTCGTTACTCATCCTTGAGGACTGGCTGTTAAATGTTGTTCTACATAAATGTTGTTTTACAGAACAAAACAGAGTAACAATAAAAAGGTGATGTTCAACAAGTATAAAAGCAGAAGCATATGTGGCCCTGCAAAATTGCCTCTTCCTTGATGACAGCACCAGAAGAGAGGGTAATTTCCCTTCACCTGGAAAGAGTATGTTAATGCCAATTCTTAGCTCTCACAGTGATATTAACTGCATGTATTTCAACTCAAGCTGACTTTTCCAAATCCTTTCAAGAAATCCCCACAGACCAAACTGATTTTTGTATTTACTACTCATGTGTTTTAATGGCTATTACTGAAGAAGTTGTGTTAGAAATGCCCACTCAGAGGCAATAATTTGTGCTGTGTATTGAATGGAGCTATTACAGGCAGATTTTCAGGGAAGTCAGAAGAAAACTGTAACAGACTTCTAAACTTACAAGGCATTACTTGAAATTTCTGTGAGAGAAGTGCAAAGATATTCAATTTATTAATATTACAAAAGTAAGCAATTAAATACTCCACATTAGTTGAAGAGGAAAGACTACAGAACTGGATCAATAAAATGTCTTACAGATTTCAAAGATCAACTTTTTTGATAACTATGTTTATCAGAAAAACATACAGAGGCTATTTTTCACATGTAAAGTGAAGAATAATAATTTTAGAAAACATCAGACCACCTTGAAAGGTAATAGTTTTACTGTTATGCAAACACACGTTAAAAAAGGTAGACAACAGAATGAGCAAGTAGGAAAAAAGTAAAAGTAATACAACATGAAAGACGTTTCCTTTGAACTGTCACAAAAAATAAGAATCCAAATGCCATCAATGAAATAACAGTATTTTTAGCTTCCTTAATCTGTAAAATTATTTATCAAGAATGTCTTTAGTTAAAATAAAAGAACTGTCCTTTCCTGTTATGCCCCATTCTCTCAAATTTGTGTGATCATTGGAGACTGTAAATTACAAACATGCATATATGCACATACTCTTAATTCCAAGTTATTGAATTCTGAACTCTTCACTGCTTTAATGTCTTATTTCATCTAGAGTAACGACACGTGAGTACAATGACGCAGAAGAAAATGTAACACTAAATATAGAACTTCATTTTTTCGCAAATGCCTATATACCACATTCAGAAAGCTAGTTTTGCAGGAGCCATAAATTACATTGTTGTTAAGATCTAAGATATTAGTATATAACTTTGTTACAAAAATAGTAAGATATTGTATTATAATATAAAGAAATATACTTTACATGTATTGCTACATACTAAATAAAACTTCTAAAATAGAAGTTTAATGTGAACCAATTATGCCTAATTTCAGTTTCATATATACTGGATATTCATAGGATGACAAATTCTGCTAATGAGAAACCTGATTATTAATTTAAAATGAACCAGTCACAGTGGGAAACTTGATACCTGTTGGCAAATGTGTTCCCATTGAACACTGAGATCCTTTAGTTCTGTCTCTATTCTGGAAGCAAATTCTGGCTCTGCTTCACTCTTCATTTTCTTCCCAACCTCATTAACACTGTTCAAACTGGGCTGGATTGTCTGGATATCATTTACTAAAGCCTAAAGGAATAGCAGAAGATTAGGCAAGCAGTATTCATACAAATTTTCAGATATGCTATCCCTATCAAAATGTGTCTACATGAGATTCTGATATGTCTTTGGTCCAGATCTTCAGTCAAATGAGCACAATTAATGGACTTAACTATGAAAATAAATAAAAAAGGAATGAGCAGCTGTAATGTGGCAAGCTATATCAGCTGAAGTTCATTTGCAAAATATGTAAGTTTCAAATGTTATGTATATGCTATATATATACACTCATATAATGTTACATATATCTATTACAATGCCTAGATCCTTTATTCACATTTGTGAAAGAGCATCCCATCATAATGGTGGAAAATTATTTGTGAAGCCATCTTATTAACTATGCCAGCATTACCCTTGTGTTGGTAATTCATCTGGTAACTTCCTTAAAATGATCTGAATGGTGATATTCTCTGGTTATGTCTACTTATTAGAATTTTATTTGTGGTTGAATATTATTTAAGCCCTGAGGTAGTTCTAAATTGCCACTTCCAATTTCATTTCCTAAACCCTTCTTCAGTGCTGCAGATGTTACCTGGGCTTCCTACACAGTGGAAAAGGCTGGAAGTGTAAACACATAAAAGATGATGAAGATTTTGGTAGCTTTATTATATATTTGACGGTAATGGCTAATATTTGTGCAAACTCTTCATAAATTCAGGTGACAGATTCTAAAGCAGTTACATGTAATTTACTACTCTGTAGAGAAAAGAGTTGTCCTATGTAATTTATAATCATTTTTTATTTAAATAAGGGGTAAGAGAGAAACTGAGGAGCTTGTAGCTCTGTAAGATCAATATGTAGGTTTCATAATATTTATACATCCTGCCAGAACATTTACAGAACTTGTAAATACCACTGAACACATGGACAGGGACCATCATGGATTACAAGATTCACTGCACTTACACACTCTGTTGGGACACGCAGAAGCATTTGTAAACCCTGTGATGGAAGTACCAATACTTCATGATGCTTTAAAACTCTGCTGGGACAAAATCCTAGAACTTGTAAGTTTAGTGAAAAAAAAAAAGAATATAACTCACAATACCTGCAAGTTCTTTCGGTACAGTCAGAAGAGCTTGTAAATCATGTGTGAATAATAGATACAGGAAAAGAGCTTCTGGCACAGATTACACAGTTTACAACAAATACACATGCAATGTTTGTAAACTCAATAAAGCAAATAAACAGTTATTTTAAGAGGCTACTAACTTATTATTTGCTGCAAGTACCCTCCTTGATGTTTTGCTCCTGCTATAAATACATAATGATACAGGCACTGTATGCCTCCTCTCTCTATTAAAGTTTCCAATTTTTTAAGAGAATTTTCCTTCAAACCCAGGAAATGCAGGAGGTTCAAATACCTTGCAGAAGACAACCCCCTTACAACATGAACTTATTTTTAGGAACAGTAATCATTTGTGTAACATCTGTATAAGCTAGGCTCATAGAGAAGAATCAAATAATTGCCAAGCAGGCAGGTAATACTCACTGTACATTGCTCAAGTTGCTTTTCCAGCGCTTCTGAATCACCAAGGGCAGGCCACTCTTCCTTCAGAAAAACATCCACTTCAGCCATCCACTTCTTCAGTGTTTTAGTGTCATTCTGTTTATTAAAAAGACATTTTATTGCATCGCACAGAACCTGACTGGCAGTAGAGTAATTCATCCTGGCACTACGACTAAAACTCATTGGAATGTAATTTCAAGATTTATTGAACTGCCTGAAAAATACAAACACAGAAACAAGCACGGCCAATTTTATCTGGGACTGTCACTGACTCTTTAGCCTGCACATTAACCATTTCTGCCCAAGTTTAATGTGTCTACAGGCAGGCAACTCTCTGGCTTACAAGTTTATGCCTTCCAGATATCATATGTGTTTAGATGCTGCATGCATGTTCATTGGTTCCTTGTATGACGTCAGACTACTCATACTTGGCAAGTAATTCAGGCTCACCTATCAAATCCTCCTGTGCTTCAATTTAAATTTCAGGCTCCTTTTGGAAGTTGCATGCTCTATTGCCTATTTCTCTACCAGAACACAACACAGAAAAACTCCCTTACTACTCAGAATAAAAAAAAAAAAATTGTAACTGAAACAGTAATTGAAACAGATTCACTTCAGAAACTAAAATCATATAATGACTCAATGAGTCATTTCAGAGACTGATTCTCATTTACTGTTTCTAGCACTAGAATATTTGTAATCAGTAAGTTGTTTTCCATACTCTTTAACTAACCCTTGCAATTAATAAAAAAAAGGTGACCAGCAAATGCTTGCAAAGAGGGAACCCTATCAGTCCCAGGCAACATTACATAGATAATCTAATACCTTGAAAGGCAGAATGAGATTTTTTAAATGTCACTTAAAATTACCTTAAAACACCACCTTAGGTAAACAAGTAGATGCACGTGTTATCAAAATTATAAATGGCAAAAATTTGAAAGGCAAATTATTACGCATTTGTTCATCAAACTCTTTTCATTACCAGTGAAGTACATATTGATATTATATGCTGAATGCAAAGTTGAATTAAAGCGCAAAAAAGGACATTTCATTAGAATACAGACTGTGCCCTAAAATGTGTACGTACTATTATGAGATAGATAACCAAAGGGAATATTTTCCTAATGTGCTTGATATATTTAATAACGACAGGCTACCATGGAAAATGAACTGAATTAAAAATAATCATACAGAAATTATCAGTATACTTCAGAATGGCAATTACCAAAACACTGTTGAAGTATCTACTGTGCATTCCATTATCAGTCAGTAAAAATAGTTCAGAATCATATTTCATGATAAAACTTTAATACCTTTACATGAATACTTTAAGTATAATTTATTAATGCTGCAAAATATTAGATCTGATGGGATTTACTTAAAAAGGGATCAGCCTCCAGCTACCAACAAAGATCGAATGTATGACTTGCATTTTGAATCAGACTGTAAATGCATTTTATTTATCGACACTGATTTCATCGTATCCCATGCTGACACATTCCATAAATTGCAACAGCTAAAACTATCCTCTGGAAGATTAGTCATTCAAGGAGTTGAAAAGACAATGACTTTTATATTAACTGTGTACTACAGTGACTTCAGCAATAAATATAAAGGCTAAGATTTGTATACAACTATAGCTCACATAGCTTTAAAAATACATGCTCTACAGAGCATAGTCATGATGCTCAGGACTTTCTCCTTTTAAGAGCAGCGGGAGAACCTCTAAACCTCTATCCAGAAAACTTGGGGGGGGGGGGGAGGAGAAGACAAAAGTTTGAATTTCTCAAGAAAAGTGTATTGCTCTGTTTTGTGCAATTGCAAATATTTCATTATACTATTGATAAAAACACTTTCTGGTTTTCCTATTTATGTTGCATTTATGTGGCAAGGTTTTGGTAGCAGGGGTGGCCTCTGTGAGGAGAGGCCAGGTGCTGCCCTGTGCTGGACACAGCCAGTTCCAGCTGCCTCCAATGGACCCACCACAGGACACAGCTGACCATGAAGTGAAGCCCATGGTGATGCAGGTTGTCTCCCTGAAGCCCATGGAGGTCCATGGTGGAGCAGATATCCACCTGCAGCCCATGGAGGATCCCACACTGGAGCAGCTGATGTGCCCTAAAGGAAGCTGCAGCCCATGCAGAGTCCCACACAGGAGCAGATATTTCCTGAAGGACTGCAGACCATGGGAGGACCCAGGCTGGAGCAGGGGAAAAGAGTAAGGAGGAAGGAGCAGCAGAGAGGAGCTGTTATGGACTGACCACAGCTCCCACTCCCCATCTCCCTGTGTCCCATGGCAGGAGAGGAGACGAGAGTAAAGCAATGGAGTGCAGACTAAGAAAAAGAGGGAGGGGGAGAGGTGTTGTCTTAATTTTTGTCTTTGTTTCTCACTACTCAAATCTATTTTAATTTTCGCCAAGTTGTGCCTGTTTTGCCCATGATGGTAACTGGTAAGTGATCTCCCTGTCCTTATCTCAGTCCAAGAGCTTTTCCATCCTATTTTCTCTCCCTGTCCTGCTGAGAACTGGGAGTGAGAAAGCAGCTGGAGCATGTGGCTGCTGGCCAAGGTTATCCCACCATACCATTAAACTTCATTTCATGGCCAGCTTCAAACGTCAGAGATGTAGCTATGGAGCCAAAGTTACAATTTAGAGCAATGTGGCATTTCAGTAGCTAAATTATAAATGGTACTGATAAAATGTTTCCTCCTTTTTTGGTCCATTTTGCTTATCTAAAAACTGATTAAGAGTAACAGAATAATGAGTACTTTTTTTCTTTTCTAAAAAGTTTTTTTCCTCTACAGAAGCAGAAGTGTAAGAATACTTTGACAAAAAATTTATTTCTGACCAAACAACCCTATTGAATTAAGCTGAAAGTAACAATTACAGTTCACATGCTATTGTATTATAATTCACACCATGGAGCTAATCATGTATCGTATTCTACTACCAGCAAACCAAAGCCAAGGACAGAAATATTTGATGTCAATAGAAGAAATACAGAGAGATAACACTGAAAAGAAACACACTGTGAGAAAACAGCTTTGAATATGGTTGTAGGACCTCAACCTTCAGAATTTTCTTTGCGATATCCCCCATAAGTATGCAGGTGTTCATTTGCATGGGGCAAGGAGAGAAAAACAAATTAAAAAAATAAAAATACTTTCTCCATTTTTGTGACTGATTGATCTGAATTCCTCTGAAATCTGTCCCTTGAAATTATATAGAAATAGAACAGTAATATGTTAAAAATGGACTTATTTTAAATCTTATAACATCTAAGTCATAGAAATCCCCTGTAATGCTGATACATGCAATTTATAAATAAGTGTAAATAGGAGATCCTCACAATGAGAGAAACAATGTAAGGTTCCAATGCTGTCATTCTAAATACCTGAAATTCACATAATTGTGTAAAGTCATATACACATCTGCTTTCTGGCAACTGCTGCCAAGATACTACTATATTACAAATCACTTTAATTATGCAAGTGAATCCATTAAAGTCAATATGGTTACAGCTACTTCAGCTGCATGAAAAAGTACTTCAGCTACATTGAAAAAGTAAGTACAGCAATATTAGTAAAAATTTCACTGAAATCAAAGTTAAGTTTTGCTATTGAAACAACATAGGCAGAAACAGCCACAAAATGAGAATTCAAAGTAAAATCTTGGACCCACCAAAGTACATTTTATATACCCTTTTGATATTTCACTTTGGAGTTACTTTCTTGAGGTGTACAAATGCATTCTGTGCTAGTCTCACAGCCACAAGCCACCACACAGTAGTCGAGGCTGTAAAAGTTTGGTTAACCTGAAATCGCTGGAGTTTGGTCATAAGCTCCTCAAGTTTCTGGCAATGTTCCACCAGCTGCGCTGATAATTTCTTCCAGCGGCCAAGGATCACCTCAATCTCCGATCGATATCTTTGGCTGACTTCTGCAGGGGCTTTTCTGGACATGTCTTCCACAGTTGTGCTGAGATAGTTCAGGCCTTTTTGCTGCTCTTGCAGAGAACTTTGTAGAGCCTATGAATAAGAAGCAAATAGTATCCTGATTCATGTATCAGGCAATTCCCTTTGTTTCACAAACACAGGCAAGACTGTTGAAGAAAGCACTGAAAACTAACAACGTAGGCCATGTTTGCTAAAACATCTAATGACATATTCTACTGAGCAATTTGGAATTGCTTTTTCCACACAAACTAGAAAGTAGATTTTTCAGTTGACCTGAGAATATAACCAGAGGTGTTTATACTTGTTAACAGACGTGATCCACATACACTTCATTAATTTGAGATAGGAATTTACTGTGGCCCTAATGATTACACTTCCAAAAGTATCAGACTATACATGGAGAAAAAGAATAAACTTAGAACTCCTTCTATGATTCAAAGATTTTGATAATGTCTTCTCAAAACTTTTGCAATTCTTAGCCCAAATTTTCTGCATCTAACTTTTTTTCTATATTCTACTTTTTATTTCTGCATGTGCATTACTAGTTGCATCCAACAACATGCTCATTAGCCATCCAATAGTAGAACAATATCAAACACTGAAATGCAGGGAAGGTTTGTACCCACTGGCAAAACTTGTTCCACATTTGTGTCTGCTTGTAAATCCGATGGGAAATCTGATAAAGCCCGTGCTGCATTTTGCAAGTCACAATTGTTTCCATGTCAGCACTGGAAAATGAAATGAGCTAAATCTATACTTAACTACCAGAACTATCATCAAAGGAATATTTTATATATCATGGGGACAAACAAAGGCTTTTCCGTAACATGTTCAATATCTTATAAAATTGGTTTCAATGGTGATAAACACTTTCAATCCTTTAAATTTAGGAATCAGTATAAGTAAGTATCCACCGTGTCCTGAAGCCCCTGGCTAAAACCCGAATGGGTATAATTCATTCAAGATCTGTAATGAAAGTTTCAGCAGAATCATGACAACTTTGCATTCTGTTCCTCTAAACTTTTCATTTGAGACGTTTGTTCCCACAGCTTGATCACTCACCTTGAGCTCCCTGAGTCTCTGCTCCATGATTTCATATTCAGCAACCACAACCTGAGGCATGGAGAGTTTAGTTTCTGACTGCTGAATCCACACAAGTATAGTGCTCATTGTCTCTTTGTAGTGTGCAGGAGGCAAAGTGTCAAAAACTACATTCAGTGGGGAAGAAAAAGGAAAGAAATAAAATAATTTTGTGCTTCATTATTTGGTTTGCTGACAGAAGATGTTTGATAAAAGACTGAGCCTAATTGAAGTCAATGGCTATTTTGCAACAGATTGCAACAGGCCCAGTATGTCAGTACCAGATTTTTCCAAGACTTGTGGAAGCAGAATACTTTTGAAGAATGAATACACTAATTCTAATGTTTATGATATCTCTGTCATTTTATCAGTTGTGCGTCATTTGACTCTCTTGTTACAGGTCACACAACAACTTATATGGCCAAGACAACTAGTTTAAATATGCGTGTTTAGGGATCAACAGATAAACCGTTGTACTTAACCCAAAATCTAATTTCAGAAATGCAGTAAGAAATAGCATTCCCTTTTATGGCCCATGTTTGTGTGTTTAATGTTTCTGTTCAAGTAAAATGTTCTGTTTAAGACATCTGTTAAAAGCTTAGAAAATTAATCTTTCTTCTGCATTAAAGCTGAATTTTATTGAACTGTGCTTATTGTGCCAACATTACAGCTGCTGTAAATAGACAACATCTGGCACACACATGAGCAAATCATTAGCAGAGATACTCCCTCTGCCCTCAACAACAGTTGCTTCTTTACTCATTGAGAAAAGTACAGACAAATAGCATGGCTGGTTGGAAATGAAACATTTCCAACTTGTACCACATAATAATGAAGTATATAAAAGCTCAAAAAAATGTTACACCTATTTGTATCTCCTGTATGTCTCTGATGTTTCAGAAAGAACTATACGGAGAAATGATATAGCTGTCCAAAAAGCAATTTTGACGAACAACACTGTTAAAATTTTTAAGTGCAAACTTGCTTACATTCTCATACAGCAATGCTTGACAGAATATACTTCAGATTTTAACCTAATTTTTTAGTTGATCAACAGAATGCTACTTGAAAAAAAACTTATATTTTCAGTTAGGCATCATAGCAACATACTAAAATCAGGGCAATTTAAGCTCTCTCTTGTGGAGTATGCACATTGTATGGCATATTTTCTTCACAAAAATCTTGGCTTATCTGATTTATCACACACATCTGGGGATTTACAAAAGATAGGACTTGGTACCAGGAAAGACAAGAATCTCTTGCCTTGTGATGTGTTTTCTTTACGAAGAAAGCAACAGTAATACATTCTTGGAAACACAGAAACCAAACATTTTCCATCTCATCAAACAGCATTTTAAATCTTTTTATTTCCTTAGTGAGATTTGTATTGTCTTTGACTCATTTAATCCAAACAATTCCTATTTTAGAATAGAACATGCATTTAAACACATCACTACAAATGAATGGAGATATAATTTTAACAGCTTAGATATGTTAAAGGAGTACACAACTCTTAATCTGCAGTTTGATTTAGAAATATGAAATAGAGTTCAGTACTGTGATGTAATGTTTGACTGCTATAAATAATTTTCTCCTTTAAATGAAAAACAAATCTTAGGACTAATGTGTGACTTCAAGCAGCTATATAAAATAATAGTTATTTTCAGTAACAGTGAAGAGTACCTCAGAAGAAGTAAAATCACAAGATTTGCTATTACAGCAAACTCCACCAAACTGCATGAAACTCTTATCCTGAAAGTTTGCCGATAATAATAATTTTATAACCATCCAAACACTGAAAAGGTTTTGTCCAATTTTAACAAATCATGTTCTCTATTATTTAAAGGATTAAATCAGAGTTCAAGTGGGATCACAGATGTTGATATGATTGAATATTCCATTTAAAAAGCACTTTTAAATTCAGTGAAACGATAGTTTTCCTATTTCACTTTTCCAGATTACCAGTAGTGAAATACTACTTTTCAATGCCTTTTGCCTAGCTAGAGTTTTTGGGGTTTGTTGGGTTGGGGTTTTTTTTTTGGGGGGGGGGGGGGGGGTTCACACCCCAGCCAGGCAGAGCCCATCTGTCTCTTCTGGGCGAGAAGGCAGGCAAACCATTGCTAGAGACCTTTCCTAGGGTTTGGTCTGCAATCCAGCAGCGGCTCTGAGTTTGTTCTCCCCCAAAGATGTCCTCTTGTTGTTGGCTTGGGTTGTTTGTGGTGTTTTTTGTGGGTTGTTTTTTTTTGGGGGGGGGGGGGGGGAGGGGAATTGTTTGTTTGTGTTTTGTTTTGTTTTAAGATAGACAATGTGTCAGCATTTTCATCCACAAGGAAGCATATTAACACCTTTTTGGATGACACCTAAAAAGAGCCTATATTGTTTTTGCAACTCATGATGCCAGTGGTGAGAATTCAGTCAAACTCCTACAGTGGGATTCACATTACTGAATTTTAGCTGTCTAAATAATCTAACACATTTATGGTCTCTCTGTGGGCAGTATGAATCTCTCAATTCCCCATGCTCATAACGTAAACACACATCCAGACCTGTCTATTTTTATTCTAAAATTTGCTTTGTGATACTAATGTTTGTAGATTAAAGTCCACGACGATGACTTCACCTTCGGGATTACCGACCTACAAAGGCAGAATCAGAATTTGAAAGGAAAGCACAGTGCATGAATTTATAAAGCACAGAAAAATAGAAATAAGTATGACTTTTCCTTTGGCATCTCCATCTTGATATTCTTAATTTCACCTGCCACAAAAGGTTTGGTTTGTTTTTTTTTTTAGTTACTTTTTAAAAATCTAATGACACTCCCCAAACCCCCTCTGAAGAACAGTCTTGTCAAATTGAGAACATGTATCAGAATGCTTCTCACTGAAGACCACAGCTGGGTAAGAGTTCACCACAGCAAGACTAAAAAACAGAAGCACCTTAACAGAGTTTGGTCCAGTCGCAGCACAAGATGAGTGCTGGAATGAATCAGCTGCCAGCTGGGAAGTAGTTTAAGCCAGGGAGTACTCACCTGACACTGACTGACAGCTCTCCCTGTGCTGAGAGGGAATGGGAGGCTGACCAGACTGCTCCCTAGAAATATCTCTGACATGGCAGCAGTTAATTTCAAGACAAGTAAATATAAAGTTTAACCCCTCATTCTTCACCAGGGCAATTATAAAACTAAGAATTTCCTTGGGAAATCACATTATTCATATTCAAATTATTTCCACGATTGTCCATTTCATTCCCTTCTGTACACTACTTAATAATTTGAAGCACTGACCTCTATTTTTTCTATATACCAGTATTCTAGAAATGACTCCAAATGTGTTTGGAGAGGAGGGAGAGCTGGAATTATGGATACACCATCTTCAAAAGGATCAATTACCTATGGATATACAGACATTCTCTAAAGTAAGAAAAATGAGGTCGTATTTCCTCATAATTTATGAGGTTGTATTTCTTTCATAAACAACATTGCAAAATAGTGAAAAAACAACGAAAGAGGTTTTAGAATTGGCTTTAAATTACATTTTGTAATTGGAAGTGCTAATCAAATCATGGAAAAAACCATTTGAGAAAATCTGAGTTAATCTTTAATAATTTTTTATTAAGAAATGTACTGTGCAGCATAGAGAAACTACTAAGCACTCCTGAGACTAAAAAAAACCCAAAACCAAACCACCACCACCCTCAAAAAAACCCACCAAAACCCAACCAAACAAAAACATTTGAGGGAGACAATCTCCTAGAACAAGAGAAAACTTTCTTGGGGGGAAAAAAATTCCCTTGGAAAACAGAACAGAATAGCTAAATACACTTATTCATCAGAAAAGATAATGGACTAACAGAACATTAAAAAACAAAAACCCCAAACCCCTAATGATGAATCAAAAATCCTTTTAACATAAAAAATCCCCTAATGATGAATCAAAAAAATCTTTCTAGAACATGTAGGTTATATGTACAGGGAATAAAAAAAAGAGAAAATACTACCACTGATATGGAAAACATCATTCAGTCTTTAAGAAATTCTTCTATCTATAGAAAATAATTAATTGCACATAATTTATGCAAATAACAGAAGGAAATATCTCAAATGCTGTAGCAAAATTTCAACATTTTCTATTAAATTAAGGCTAAAACAAGGACATGGGATATGGCCTTTTCTCCACCTGTTCAGCAGAAGAAAAATAGTCATTGAAGAAAGCAGAAGAAACTCAGACTCAAAGAGCCAAATTTTCTGTGCTTCAGCTTCAGGGTCTTTCACATTTTTTGATTCATAAAACTTTCCTGAAACAGGGTTAGACCTAACACAGTATCCCAATCATGATCGTTCATATCTACAGCAGAGTTATGAAAGGAAGTTAGCACTTTGGATAAAACTGTGTGTAAAATTTCTGAAGATAAAATATGATTAACATAATAATCTCACTTAAAACATCACAAGAGGAATGCACTGTATGGGATAAAACAGTTTCAGCTTGACACTACTCATCTTACAGGACTAACCAACCGGCTAGTTCACAAGGCCTCACTTATAGTAAAATTAGGTGAGGCAAAACCAGCAATTACACAAAATTGGATATAGAAAAAATCCTAAGGAAATAATTTACCATATTTTCCTGTTGGCAGAATGGTAACTAATTTCAGCATATAAACTGGTGTGGCATTAAAAGTTTTAAAATTTTATCCATTGTATGGCCTGACTTTAGAGTCATGAATACACTTTACACTTCTTGATACTAAATTTCTACAGCTCATTCTTTCATCATGTGCTATGGTACACTTGTGTTTTATTTCTTCAGTTCTCCTATGCACCATCACCTCTTCAGTTTACGTATGTGTGCATGTGTGAAATAACCACAGAAGCACAATAATGCAGTGTTGTTGAAACAAAATCCATCTTTAAAAATGCAATCATGCCAAACCTCTCCAGGAAAGAATTTAGGAGGAATACTATAAAGATCCACTAGAAGGAGCTACGACTATATCTAATTTCAAAACAGTACAGTCATTTACAGATATCATTGGTTTAAGGGGCAAATAATCTCTTTGCTGTTGAGAAAAATTAAATTTATATTTTTTTATCCAATACTTCATTTTTATTTTCATAATCAAATACAGAAAGTGTACAGTAGTCACTGACATGCTACACATCTTTAATAAGAAATAAAGTCAACTTTCTATTTTGGTATAGCATTTTCCCTCTTTTTAAAAACACATTTTATTACAAATATTGTAAATAATGTTATAACTAGCAGTCATATATTCTGTGTTGCAAAAAAGGAACAGTTCACCAGATGATGAAAAACTAGATACCCTAAAGTAGGTACTCTCTTTGATGAGCTTTATGGAGTTAAATCTCTATTCTGTGAAAATCTAGAGCAGGTTTACTCCTGCAATTAAACTCTCTCTCTTCTCTAGTGACAGAGGTAGACAGCCCTGTGACATAACCCAACTAAACAAAGACAGTTTTATGTTGCCAAAAAATATCAATAAATCTGTACATGCTAACAAGAGGAGATGAGATGGTAGAACCACATTGAGTATAACCATTGCTTCTGAATAGTGTACTTTCCCTTGTTTTCCTATATATATAAAATATATAACACACTGATAATTTCTGAAAGACTAATTCAACTGCAAAAAAGACCACCTAAATTGTGCTACAGGTTTAGCGTGGCAAAAGCAAATACAAAAGTAGGAAAGTAAAATATATACACCTATTCTTTTCATGCTAGTCAGGCAAATTGACTTCTTGTCATAAACACTTACTGGTCTGTAGCTGCTTTTCTCTGGCTTGCATGTCAGCAAGTATTTGTTTGAAATGGCTGGTAAAAGCAGCAAGGTCAGCATCCAGAAACACTGGCCCTTGTTCTTTCTCTTTGAGTGCTTGACTTTGAGCCTTTAGCCGATCAATTTGAGGCTGAAGGGTTGACATTCGGATGATTTCGTCCTGCATTTTTGAACAAAAAACATCTAGATAAAGCTGTCCAACAAATGAAATCACTAGTGCCATGAAATCACTGCTGTTTCAATGCACATTACACAACTGTTTGCTTCCAACTACATCAGTTACCATAAGAACAAATTCAACATTTTTAATCATTTCTCATAAATCAATACCTCTGCTCCCAATATGATGCTCTTCCCATTGTTTAAAGTCACTTTCACATGACATGATCATGTTACTAGTGTAATGCTCAAAGAAAACAAGACAGATTGTACATTAAAATCCCATGCCCAAGGAGCACCCTTTTCATGTAGAGCTGGGAAGATAAAAACTCTACATGTCCCATAATTCTGGACTCATCTCTGTTAGATTATACAAAGGCTAAATAGCATGAAGTAGAAAAAGAGAAGTGAAGACACACAGTGATTTCCAGCAGCCTCACAGTAGCACATTACAGATCAGGGTTGTGCTATTATACCTTCAGGAGACCTTGTACACACTGTGACACTTGCAACTACTAAGTAAAAAGAAATGAGGAAAGTAACCCAAATGACAGTTCATAGTAGAGCTACTGGAAGAGAAGCTTTCTGCAAGAAAACAAAGAACCCCTGTAAGCACAATGCCAGCTTGGAAATCCCTGAAAACAGAAGTAATAGCATAGATATAAATTTGGGTTTCAAACATTGTTTTCAGTTTGAGAGCTTCTGGAGCCAGAGATTTTATAAAGTCAAACTTCTACAAGTATGTCGTGCAATTGATAATTCATTACTACATTTCAATAGATTCCTGTCAAACAATATTAGCTTGTAAGTAATCTCCACCCACAGAGCTGTCTACAGTAAGAGAGAAAAGCAAATTTCTATGATGGTGCAGCACAAAAATGAAAACATTTAGGGAGAATAATAAGTGAATTGGTGTGACCGTTTTTTGTACAACTACTGTAATTCTGTCATACAATGACAGAAGTATAGTCCTCCATTTGACTACACAATCCACCCTGCATCAAAATCCAGGGTGTGTAACAAGTAAAGTGGTCTGCAATGGCAGAATTTTGGACTTGACCATGAAGACAATTTTCTGGCCCAGATCCTTATGACAGAGGTGATGAGCAACAGCCTCTTAATGAAGAGCCAAAGGTACAGATTCTTACAGAAAAAAAAAAAGAAAAAGAGTTCCCTAGATTTAGGTATCTAAGTATCTTAATAACTAAGTATTTGGGGCAGTTTTAAATACTCATAAGCTAGGTATTATTGCCTCCTTATTTCTTTACCAGTCTTTCCTTTCCTTGAATAAATATTTTCAATAATTACCTGGAAAAGATAAGGAGTCCATTTTTCCACTTTTACATGAAATAGTGTAGGTCATAATCTGGCCCACTGTTGGAACACCTATGAAGTACAATATCATAAAAAACTTGGAGAAGAATCTCTAACCTTGCATTTTTCCAACTGAGTTTTTACTGTAGCAGGATCTGTTGCTAGTGTGGGTTGTGCTTTCAGCCAGTTTTCCGCAGTAATTGCTGTCTGCTCCAGTTGCTGCAGCTGAGAGTAGAAGTCAATGATGTTATTTTGGTACTCCAGCCATGCCAGTCTTTCACTCAGCAACTGACAGAACTCAATCCAGCGGCTCTTCAGCTGCTCTGAGGCTTGTCTAATGTTGTCAGCATTCAGACCCTCTAGAAAGAAAACAAGAGAAGTTGTTTGACACTTAAAGATAAATAAATCACAAAGAAAAGAAAAAAAAAGTAAAAGAATTTAACAATTCAATTTCTGTATTTGAGAGCTCATAAATCCAGTTAATGATTTATCATCAAATAACAGTCCTGAACATACAGATGTTACACATTAGTGGAGAAAGCATTTCAAAAAATATTTTAAGTTGCTGCCAGGGTACTTTTGTTGCTATGGGAATGAATTATAAAGTGCATTGAAGTACAAGAATGGGAATAAAGCAGAAAGTAGAGATACAATACATAAAGCTAATTAAAACTTCTGTAAGAAATAAGAAAATGCCTGACAGCTGGATTTTGAAAACTATGTCAGGACTGTAATTAGATTTTAATGTACAAGACACTTTTTTTTTTTTTTTTAATAAAAAGACAGATTGAAATGAATGGGAACTATAGTCCACAGTTGTTTTGATGTTTCTGAAAATCCAACTCTTAAGTTTTGCCTTACATGTTATTTTAGAAATACCATAAGCACCAAGAAATAAACATATGATCAGATCAAACCTCCATCTAAGCCAGTCTCATGTGTCCAACAGTGACCATCAGTAGACATTAAGCAAAGACTGAGAGCTGAGAAATCATAGGTGACACTCCTCTGATTATTTTCAGACAGGGTTTGATTTCTCTGATATAGTTTGCCTGCTTCTGTCTATTGCAGAAATACTTCTGTCATGCTTAAATTAAAGTTCATAAAAGAAAACTGACTTTAGTTATTAGAGACAAGGCAATTATTTAGAACTATTTAAAGGTAAAAGAGCTCTATATACTCTGTGAAGAAAGTAAGGCAATACATATCAAAAATAAGCAAAGGTGTCTTACAATAACAGCATCTATAATTATTCCAAGACTTGAACTCAGGTCAAGTTCAAAATACTATTAACTTAAGCATCTCATTTATTTTTCAGAGAAAGTTTAAATGTAATCCCTAACCTTTTTTACTGGCATGAAATGTAAATGATACAGATAGCAATAGGACCGACGTTGATTTCAAAATTAATTAATCTGCACCAGGGGATGTTTAGATTGGATATTCAGAAAAATTTCTTCACCAGAAGGGTAGTCAGGCACTGGAACAGGCTGCCCAGGGAAGTTGAGTCCTCACCCCTGGAGGTATTTGAAAGACGTGTAGATGTGTCACTTAGGGACATGGTTTAGTGGTGGACTTGGCAGTGCTAGGTTAATGGTTGGACTTGATAATCTTAAGGGTGTTTTCCAACCTAAACAATTCTATGATTCTATGACTAATATACTACTCAATCCATTGAGTAATGCTATATGCTTAAGAACATTTTTAATAACATCATCACTTAGTCATATACTAGTTAACCAGTAAAACAGAAGCTGTGTTCTTATCAAAATAATCAAATTTAGAATGTTTTTCTATTTCTTAAAAACAAGTTTAAAAGCAAATGAGACAAAAGCCTTCAGTGCTATACTTCCATGATTTTTGATATGCTGTCAATATGGTACATCTTGTTTGCAACCTGTACTCCCAATCAGCAAGGGATAAAAAATAGTGAAGTTCATGTGCAATTTTTGAAGGTGGGACATAGGAAATGGAGTCCTAATTACAGCTAAATGCCTTGAATAAAAGTACTGGAAATTTATTATAATAAAATTTTCTAAGGAATGACTATAATGCGTGCTATATGGTAAACCACACTAAATGATAATCTGGGATTGTGTCTGTTGTACATGATTTCAAAAAGTACAAGCAAAAATGTAGAAAGATAGGAAGCCCAGTACTACTGGGAGATAATGGCAACTGTGGTGGCTGGAGCGGCTATATATATACATTATACTCCGGAAACTGGATGGCACAGTTTAAAGGCTGAGCAAGGGTATAAAAAGAACTTTAAAGCATAAAGAGGTAAACCATATTTTGACACATCTTAATAAAATCCAACAGTGATCTGGTCTTTTGTGGGTTTGTGTTTGCATCTGGAGATGTGGGATGCATAACTACATTTTCTTAAAGTGTAAAGTCTAATGAACATATAGTAATATGTGAAGAGGCAGCATAAACCTGAATGGCATAGCATGTCTAGATAACAACAAAGATGACCAGGCACATAGATAGTGAACCTTACCAACAGCAAGAACAAACACATATATAGAAGACAAGCCTTTAACTATGCTATATTTCAAGAATTGCTTCTGTCGTGTTGTGACTTTGGTTATAAAAATGCTGTATTCTCATAACAGACAGCAGATATCTTTGCCGCTGTGTTCTCTGAACCTGGAAACACTGCCTAAGAGTTTGGCAGAGTAGATATAAAAAGAACACTTTTATTTATTCCTCCTTTCCTCACTTTTCAGCTGCCACAGTCTCCAAAGTACTCTTAGGCAAGATTATTATTACTAGGGGAAGTGCAGTCAGGGATTCTCCTTACATAATAATACTTTTCACTGTAATATTTTCTTCAAGGATTCAGGGAGGACTGTATTTCAGGTGAAAATCTAGATTCATCAGATCCTCTTTTCTTCTTTCCACTCATGTGTCCCTCGTAACATAACATTTAAATATGTGAAAATACCCAATAGTATTCAATGTTCTTTAATTATTTTCTTTATTATCTAAACTTTGAGTCTAAATGGGATTCCACAAGTGCAAAGATGAACAAAGAAATGTTTTTGCTCTTCATGTAACTGAAGCCGACAGTACAGGACTGGAGTGTGCAGAGCCATGTTTGCTAAAAGATTGCAGAGGTACACCTCCATTAGGCAACACAATATCCTACTGAAAGGAAGACCCATCTGAAAATCTCCATAGGATGCATTTTTGGAACTCTCTTAATTCACAGTCCGCTCAGGTAACTCAAAGTTGTCTACCAGACGTCGGCATGTCATTTCCAGAATGATGCAAGAAAATGGCCATTACTTGCACTTGAAATCAGGCAAATTTATCAAAATTTTGTCTTATTTTGAAGAAAGCTAGTCCTCCATCTCATTGAAAATGACAAATTAATAACTATTTGAGTAGTTGATGCAATGAGGGCATAATTTTAGTGTTTTTATTTGCTCACTAAATTGGTGAAAATCAAGAATTTGAAACTTACTTCCATGATAACTACTGATTTCTTCATTATCTTTAGCAACTTTAGCAACCACCAGCTTTCATTCATGATGTTAACATCAATCTCCTTACTCTGTTTCACTCATGGCGACAAGACACATCAAAAGTTGACAAGCAGGCAAAGAAACAATATAAAACCCATTCTCTGGTAAAACAATATTATTTCAGGAATAATGGTTCATAATCTTTTCATGTTTCATATTCTAAAAGCTTCTGACATAATCAGTGAATAAATATACTTTACCCAGAGGAAACAGATCATTATCTGAAGTGCATCCATTAATGTTATTACCTTGTGTACTGCACATAACAAATTGTGTCTGAATATTTTTAATTGTTCAGCACCTTACATGCAAGTACTTTGGAACTACCACTTAGTATGAAGGATATCTTATTAAGTGCATTTATCACTTGCTATGGTTCTATGATAGAATAATGTAATATTATCTGTGTTTTTACAGCTTTTGACTCATAAGCATACATGAAATGGTAACTCACAAGATAATATATTTCTTCCACAGAACAACAGCACTTAAAAATTACATGGTTTATCACAACAAATTCATTTGTATTCACTTTAATGCTGCCTATCAAAATTCTCTGAGTATTCATTTTGATGCCCTAGTTACTTTATTTTAAACTACTATAACAGTCAAATGTCCACTCAAACTCCTAAACTGCTTCACTCACACATCAACAGATTTGTTATTCTATTTTAGAATAGAATTTAGAAAAGAAAAACAGAATAGAATTTTTTCCTACACGGGTAAACAGAAGATGTAAGTTTTCATTGATTATAATCATCAGACTTCTTTAAAAGCATGGGCAAAGAGAGGCAGAGCATGGCCCATGTAGAAGATGGGTGGTTGGGTAAAGAATCATCCACCAAAATGATCAATGATTTCCACTGTGATGGGAAAAATCCTTCCAACGGCAATATCCAGACATACTGCTTACAAACACAAGAATAGCTGCACTGTGTGAGATGGCAGTTCTTTCCAGTGCAAAATACTTTTGGTGACAATGGCTGAAACCATTTACATAAGGCAAGAATAGTGCCCTGTATAAATACACTTCCTCAGAATATTTTCCTCTGTGCTAAGGAACAAATGAATGAAACCCTACATAAACCAATCCAATTCTCTCCAGAATTTGTATCCTTTTTTTTACTTATTCCCCCTCTTATCACAATAAAAATAAAAGTAAGAAAATAAATATAAATGATACAATGAAATTCACCACCATGCTGAACTCTCTCTTATAATCCACCAGAAGTCTTCATCTTCTTATGCTCTTCATCTGTTACATTCAGAATTTTGTTTAGCATAATTGGAATCTTAAGAGCCTAATCATTATTAGTCCAGATCTAATTGATACACAATAAGTAAAAAATAATGATGCAGTTAAAATTGTCAACGCATGACTTCACAACTGATTTATGCCTTAAACCTGTTTGCCTTGTGTAGTCTTTTAATTATAGATTACACTGCAAATGCATAACAATCATCAATTGTATCACTGACTGGTTTCCCTAAGGAAAGTACCACAGAATAATGATGGAAGCATCATCATTTGTGATTTGTAAATTGTGATAGTTAAAAAGGTTTTTCATTTAAGATAACATAGTACATCTTCCCTCCACTAGATGTTAAACTGTGTCTCCCACAAATCCATAAAGGCACATTAATTCCAGTTCCTTCCCATGTTATGGAAAAGAGTTCCAGCATTAGAAGGTATGTAGGCATAGACAGTCTGCTTTGTTGAACCTTATTCTGGAGATTCAGCAAAACTTTCCTGTGCTATATCCTTTCCTCTTGTTCTTAGTGAATCCAGAAATCAACAACAAAAAAAAGTAACAGAGATGAAGACTGTATGTCCCAAATTAATTTCCACAAGCCACACAAAGACTAAAGAAACTTAGTTGAACTGCTGTGGAGAACATAACGCTGCATAAGTTTATTACAGTTTGAGATGCAGGTTTAAAGTCATTTTTTTCACATAACTTTTAGTTCAATACCAATTTAGAGATAATCCCATTAACTGCAATTGCATTAGATCATAATGATTTGGAAGAAAAGACAAACAGAAAATTTGTTGTATTTAAAAGTATAAAGGCTGAACATGGCAGTTAACTTCCTCTACACTCAAAGCGTAATTTTGAACACCTAGTAAGATATTCCATTTGCAAATTCTTTGTTAAAATCATCTTACAGTTCTCCTCAACTAATGTGAATTATTTAATTCTGCTCTCTACTGCTCCCACCTGCTGGTGATTATGGACTTATTTAACCATTTCATACACTCTTCTCTAAATTGCCTCTGCAGCAGTGGAGTAGCTGAAAGTCCCATAAACATTTTAGGCTTCAAGTCCAGAGGAACAGTTTCTCTTTTCAAAGGAATTGTTTCTTCCCTAAAACCATGGCAAAAAAGGATCTTCATTCTCACACGCAACTAAACTGTCATCCTTGCTAGAATATTCTTGCTACTAAGGCTACCACAATATATAGGATGATACAGAGCTCAGAGCAGTTGATAGGAAATAGATAAAGTCATGCTGGCTTAAGCTAGTCTACCCTGTGCTTGCACCCCAACTGGAAGATGTGCTTCCTAAAAAAAGGTGTGATTTGGGAGATACTGGAAATATTTCTGTGCACATCTAGCAACAGTCGAGATCACAACATCTATAAACCATGAACAAGCATGGATGCATGGACTGAAGGAGAAAAAAAAAGAGAACCTTGAGTTAAAACCACATGACGATTTTTAAGATAGAATGTTAATCTACTTGATACTAGACATGGCAGGTAGTACAGTACCAGAAAAGTAATATATAATGTGCTAGCGAGTTCTGCAACTAAACCCAAAATTAGTCACCAGAAAGTACTATATAATCCAAAGAAATTGAAGCTGGAATTCTTGAGGTGCAAGTCTGCATTTGGCCAAAGGAAGAGTGGGGCACTGCTAAATGTCCTAGACAGATTCCGCCCAAAGTAACAACCTTGATGTGGCAGCACACAAATTTCAAATACTGCCTTCAAAGTCCTGTACAACCAGTTCTCCCAGGCAGAAAACATGTCCAAAAAAATGGACAGATTTTTTTATATGATCAGCCACAAAAAACTGCCCAAATGATTTCAAAGAGGGTGCACATGTTACCAGACTCCCTTCGGTCTATTCACTGAGACTAGGAAGGGAACTCTTGCAACAGTTGTTACAGTAATGATAATTAAATATGCCCGACACATTAAATATGGTCAGTTTTAAAATATTACACTTTCATACTTAAGCGAGATAAACTCAGGATTCCATCAAATTGGTTTAGTGTGGCCACTTAGTACCTCAAACTCAGAGCATTTCATTTTTAGCAATTAAATTCTTGGTTCTTTGTTATAACAATTTAATATAAAATATATGTTCTGAAGCTTAGTGGATTCAACATCTATATTTCTGATAATCATATCAGTATGACAGATGTTGGCCCGTGTTTAATATTTTATTGCAAAGTTAAACATTCTTTAATATCAAGGACAATGGCATGACTTACAATTTTACTTCCACCTACCTTTCTTTGGTTTTTCTTTTTCCCTTAAAAATATGTAAAAGTTCAAAAGAATGACATAAAAGAATATTTTTTTTTAAAAATCAATAATAAAAATAAAAAACTTACAACTAATTTTCTTTTTTAAGAGTTGTATAAGCTTTGACATTTATTATCTTTGAAAAGCCGAATGCCAAAAATCTCTTCCAAAACCCAATAAAATCTTATCTTTTCTATGATACAGAACATTACAGCAATATCTATATTACAAAACATACATTGTATATTATAAGTCAGAAAGCACTTTTTTCAAACTGTTCAGAGTAATGCCTTCAGAGCTTTCTAACTCAGATAAGTTAATGTACCTTCAAAAGCTTAGTATACTCAGAAAATAAGATTACAACTTAAGTCTGCACAGAACAGATTGTTAATATACAGTTCATTACTGTGAGCACATTTTACACACGTTTCTTTTCATGGTACTAAACTGGTAAGAATTTTTTTCTCTTTTCTAATTAACAGATTTAACATTCAGAAATAATAAAAGAAATATAAGGCAATATTACTTTACTGTTCCAGTTAGACAGTACTTGCTAATATAATTCTTGTGATAAATATGAACCTGTGCATTCATCAAATCCCTAAGAAGATTATCTAAATCAACTCCCATGTAATTACCATTCACCATCTGTTCCACCAGGGCCTCAGCTGATCTGCTGGCATCTTGCAGTTTTCTGTACTTCTCAGGCTTTTCTCGCTGGATGGCCTGCAGCATGACAGGAAAGGTGAGTATTTCAACAGAGGGTTTTTGAAGAAGAAAGTAATTAGTCTCAGGGATGTCTTCTGATTTCTTGAGACCATTTAACCTGTCATATTGCCCTGCCAGCCTCCTGATTTGCCATGAAAGCAGCAAGTACCAGATACCATCAGGAAGGGAGTCAGTCATAAAGTCAAATACATAAACTGAGAATCAGAACACAACAGAGTTGACAAACAATACACGTCATTATTTTACAGACAAATAAAAGACATACAAATTAAGAGCTATTCAAAGCCCAATATTTCAGAATAAAAATATATATTCAACAGAAATTCCTTGTGGAGGAATAGATTTGGTCATTTCTCATGCGGCTCCTATTGATAACAGCATGAATTGAGCACGCTAACCAAATCACAGGGTTTCGTAACACATTACAGTGTTGAACCCATATACCATTTGAATGCTTACTTTACTCTTTTGATGTCAAAAAAAAACCCTGTAAAATGCATATTAGATATCTAACTTGTATATCAACATATATAGTATATATCCATATATGAACTACTAAGTAAGAATAAGAATTAACTAGAGAATTAACACAGGCTTCTAGTTATGTATTGTATCTAATACTCTCAATTCACCTTACTGTACTCAAAAGTTTCTCACCCGTGTGCAGACTAGCACTCAGTCTAGCTGGTAATGGCTGGTAAAGGCTAGCTGCTGAAGTTTCAGGATATAGTAGGAATCACCCGATCACCTTGTTTATTTCCACAGTAAAGGTGTATTCTGTGTAACAGCTCTTCAGGTGAAAAGGTTCCTTACAACTGGAAATAAACCTCAGGTAGGTTTCTGAGGTGTCTAAGAATATATTTAGTAGAATAACCTCATACACTTACATGTGAAAATGTTATTTTTCAAATACATTGCTATGCTTAGGAGGAAGTAATATAAACACCTTTAAATAAGCTCTCTTAAAATAACTTTTAAAAGTGTGATGTTTAAAACATCTTCAGTTTAATAAGCAGCAGCTCCCTGGAAGACATTCCCAGCTTGAGGAGACACTCTGAACTTTGAAGAGAGATTGTCAGTTAAATTCACGCATTTCCACAGCCTACTTATAACTTGCATTCATTTGTGTATATAGAAATGGTTAAACAGCAGGCTTCCTAACAATATGCCAAAGCTTTTATCAAACACTTTCAATAATACAATTTTGTAAAAATAAAATATATAAATAAAGGATATTTAGAGAAGAATTAAGGATGGAAATATTTTGGATTTTATAAGCATATCTTTAATATAGAACTAAATTATCACTGAAAGATTACAAAGTTTAGTCCCAATGAGTTAAAGATGACTATATTAACTATTTATAGTTTCTGTAGGTCAATAAAATCTTCTACCATTCCACTGCACAATTGAAATATTTTCCAAATTTAAAAAAAAAAGTCTATTAATTCTCTGCAGAGTTCCAAAATTTCTTATAGAATCTTAATTAATACTACTCTGTCTATAATGCCAGGTATAATAAGCATGAGTCTAACTACTGAGAACTCAAAGGAATCATAAAAACACTAAAATATACTGAAAATAATTTTACTCCGTCTGTGACGCCAGATGTGTAATTATCATGAGTGCAACTGTAATGAGCACAAACGAATCATTAAAAAACCCTAAAATATACTAAAAATTAGCTTTTTAAAATATAAAAATGATATGACATTGAAGCCTGTGGCAGTGAAACCTTCAGTGTCCAGTAATACACTGTGTCCAGAAAAATGTGGATAAATGTCCACCTCTCTCCTGAAAGACTAATGTTTCCAGGTCATAATAGAAAATATAAGCACTATATGTGAAGCCCTTAAAAATAAACATGAAAATTTGGTACATATCAAACTTTCTGTCAATTACTTTTCTCAATTTATTTTTGTGTAATTAGCATATATTATAAAAATGAAGGTTACAGGAAGACACAGGCTTACACACCGAAAGCGCAATGCTAGCCAAAGGAGAAAAAACTGTCCTCTTGGTCATCATACAAAGACATATTACCTGATCTAGGGAGAAAGGAGGAAATTCACCCTAGTTACTTCACTGTCCTAACCACACAGTCCTGCCATTACTCTGTACACAGTGACATTGTTTGCCAAACCTGCAAACTGTGTCTTGGATTTTTAAGCCCCTCAGAAGACGGATTTCCATTAGCACATGTAAAGTGTCTAGAAATGGAGTAGGAGTACAGTAACACCTCTTATTTATCTCTTTGCCTTTGTTTTGTTCATTTTCCCCTTTACTAAAAGGGATAAGACTCTAGATTCAGGTTCATTCATGACACAATTAGGCTGGGATAAGTTTGAAGAGGTTTGTGAAATATTGAAACTCTTAGATTCTGTACATTGTAATGAACACTTTTGATGAAAAGTTATGGTAGCACTTCAAAATATTTCCAAATATATAACTTCCCCTTGTTATGCTCTTTTTGTTTTCTATAAAAGGTTTTTTAGAAAAATACACCAATTTGAGGAAAAAAGTTACCTTTACAGGCTTTGATCCAATCAGGGATTAATTCTCTTTTGGACAATTTTGTAACTGGCAATGCAAATGTATAATAGCCTCGTTTTAACTGATTGAATAACTCTAAAAATTCATCTTTAGCTAAATGCCAGCCAAAGGTGAAGAGGCTATTTTCACAATGCTGAGTGTTTTATTTAACCCTGAGATTTTAGTTGGCAGTTAATGACTTCATGACCTAGAAAACACTGATGATCCGAGGAATTCAGATGTTTTTCATATCAACTCAACATCCTAGAACTCTGTGAAAAGATGCATGGTAGCAGTATTCCCTGACCTCCTGTGACTCTGATCAATTACCCCCCAGGGCAGGAGATGGCAACATTATCATCGCTGGCTCTGACAGTGATTCAGCTTTCAGATATCCAGGCCCAACAAAGCATGTCTGAAAAAAGGTCACTAAAACAAAATGAACAAATGAGAGTCGGGCTTTTGA